GGCCTGCTCAGCTGAATCCTGTGATGCCACTGGGATCCCTCGGCATTGATGTCTTCCTTCACCCTAAGCACTTTCTGACTTGATGCTAGGTCACTGCAAGTCCCTCCCCACTGCACGGATGCCCTCCTATACTGTTGAGGCTTTGATACCACATTGGTTTCCTGTGTGTATTGCATGCCTACCCAATCCTGGCCGTCTGCCCTGTAGGATGTCCTCTTCGCCCTTCTCAGGTTCTGACAGCCTTTGCTTGGCAACCGTATAAACCCATACCTCACTCAGTTCCACCTATCAATCCCACACATTTTTGGTTGATTTATATAAACTAGGGCCCCCAATTCATGCACCCTGAAAGGAACTGTGGGCCGTGAGGCTGTGGTGGGCACAGGGGCAGGTTTTGGCCCATCCTCCACATCCCCACCTGGCCCTTCCCACTGTGGTGAAGAGTGATTGGGGCAGCATCAACAGCGGGTGCCGGCAACAGCTGCTGCCCTGATCACCCCTCAGGAGCAGGGGGAGGTGGAGAAGTCCTTGGGCAATCAGGACTGGCAGCCCCTACTTGCACCTGCTGATGGCACCGAGCGATCAGGATCTGTGCTGGGCACTGGCAGCAGGTGTGAGCAGGACTGGCACCGGCAGAGGGTGTGAATGGTGGCTCCGGCACTGGCAGCGGGTACAAGTGGTGACTCTGGCACCAGCAGCAGGTGCAAGCACTGGGTAGGACCATGACGCTTGGGAGCAAAGATTTTTAGTAACCACCAGAGGCTTGTCCTGATATCAGCAACTAGGATCCCACCTTAGTCTGGTGCCCCTGCTCACCTACTCCACCGTTGGCCATGGCTGATGCCCGCCATGCTTCTCGCTCTGCTGCCTACGCCCACCATGTTCCAACACGCCCCCTGGTGGTCAGCACGTGTCAAAGTGACCAGCTTTTCAGTTGTTCCGCCTTTCAGTCTATTTGCATATTAACCTTTTATTACTTAGGACTAGAGGCTCGGTGCACAAAATTCGTGCATGACGGGGAGATCCCCTCAGCCAAGTCTGCATCCTCTCTAATCTGGGACCCCTCAGGGGATGTCTTACTGCTGGTTTAGGCCTGATCCCAGATTGGGCCTAAACTGGCAGTCAGACATCCCTCTCACAATCCAAGACCTCTGGCTCCTAACTGCTCACCTGCCTGCCTGCCTCATCGCCCCTAACCGCCCCCCTTTGTGGGCCTGGTCACACCCAACTTCCCCCCTCTGTCAACCTGGTTGCACCTTACTGGCGTTCCCCCCCCCCCCCCCCCCCCCGCCAGTCTGGTCATCCCCCAACTGCCCCTGCTGGCCTGGTTGCCCCCAACTGCCTCCTCTGCCGGCCTGGTCACCCTATGCAGCCTGCTGTTCAGTCATCTGGTCGTCTTTCATTAACCCCCCTGCCGGCCTGGTCGCCCCACACAGCCTGCTGTTTGGTCATCTATCTGGTTGTTTAGGTTGTGATGGCCCCTGGCTTTTTATATATTAGGATTGGTACATTCCTTTAGGAGTTAGTAATATTTTTCAGAATGTCACATATATATGACATCCTAAGAAAATAGATGTGAAAGTATATCTATGCAAGGACACTGATAATACTGTTTATAATTAAAAAAAAAAAAAAGAAACAAGTGTCATCAATAGGGATTTTTTTTCAGGTAAATTACAAGTTTTTAGGAAATTCAGAGAATGGACTATTAAAATTAAAAAGTCATGGGGAAAACAGCAGTAATAGCATCTGTTTATTAGGCACAAGCTTCAGTCTATTGTGCTTGCACTGCCTCACTGCTTTTTCCAATTTCATGAGGTAGAATTACAATAACTCTATAGTTGAAGAAACTGCATCTTAGGGAGGTTCAGGCATTTGTCCAGATAGTAAAAGTGGCGTTTGAACTCCAGTGTGTGAGTGAGTCCAGGGTGTGAGCGCCTCACCACTATACTGTGCTGCCTCTTCATTACAATGAAACTGGGAATTATCTCTTGAGTACAGGATAGGTGATGTTTATTTTCATTGATTGTCTTTCATCTATTTTACCTTTCTCTATTGTCTGACTCTTTAATAAGCAAAATATATATATATATATATTTATTTATATATATAAATATATATATATATATATATATATATATATATATATATAAATATATAATCTAAAGTGTCCCCTGAGGAGTTTGATCAGGAGTCAGGGAGTTTGATCACTTGCTATGATGTGTGCTGGCCACCGGGAGACAGTGCTGAACAAAGGAAAGCCCTGGCTGGCAGCTGGAAGCCCAGGAAGGAAGGCCCCAGCCAGCAGCCAGGCCTGGAGACCCTACCCATGCACGAGCTTCATGCACCTGGCCAGTAGCACTTTAATAACCGGAAGTGAGTGCAGAGCTCTTCAAAGGAAGGGTGGAGCGTCAGTGAATGCCCTGATATCCTAACAGGGGTCCTCAAACTTTTTAAAGTGGGGGCCAGATCACGGTCCCTCAGAGAGCTGGAGGGCCGGACTATATGAACTACTAATTCCTACTGTAACACCTCGGCTCCGCTCACTGCCCAAAAAACCTGGGGAGCCGGATCAGACTCCTCTGCAGGCCGCATGTGGCCCACGGGCCATAGTTTGAAGACGCCTGCCCTAGGATAAAGTCTAACTCCTTAGGTTAGACCATGTGATCTGTGGTGTGACTCCTGCTTTTCTCCTCTCATATCCCTACTGCTCTGCGGCATGCAATCTTGGCTCTGGCCAAACCAAACTATATGTTTAGATAAATGTTTCCTCCTAACTGGCTGATTTTATTTTTATCTCAGTGAAGTTGTCACTCAAACACTCTTAACCCTCAAGGTGATCTTATAAACCCATATTCGCCTCTTGGCTCCTAAACCTTTACTAGTGTTCCGGTGCATGGATTCGTGCACCTTGAAAGGAAATTAGAAGAAATATTTTAATATCACTATTCACCCTTTTTCTATAATAGTGTCAACCAAATTCACAATCAACAATGACAGAAACACACACGTGTGATTGGCACCATCAGAGCTTTATATGTTTTGCACATACTCAAGTCAGCTTAGCCTTTTGTAGATATAGAATAAACATGCTTAATTAGACTAGCTTTCTGATGTACCTGAACTTCTCTTTCAGGTAATTGTCTGCAACACAGCAATAAATATCAACAGGAAGCAGATTATTATTGCAGACCAGCAGGGAGAACAGGAGTAAAATATTTAACTGCAGCAGTGTTTTGACTATATTCTGCAAAGTGAAAAAACCTGAAGCCATTTTCAAGGTCCACCATTTCTTACTTCTTTTCAGTTGGGTCAAGTTTCTAAGCTTTCTAAATCTCCATTTCCTGGCTAATGAAAAGAAAATAGGATTCCATCGAGTCTCCTATCTACCTACTCCAGGTCTTCTATGAGGATCAAATGAGATGAGGCATGGGAAACGCTTCACAAACATTTGGTTAAAGTGTAAAATGTTTACACCTGGCTATAAAGCAAGTCATGTTTCTGGACTGAAGAAACTGGAAGGAGGCTAGTTGCTAGGGAGAGGAAGCTGGGTGTTGCTATAATAGATTGATCGCCTCCAACTGCCCTCCCTTGCAGACCTGATCCCTCTCAACTGCTCTCCCTTGCAGGCCTGGTCCCTCCCAACTGTCCTCCCCTCCTGACCATCTTGTGTCCACATAGGGGCAGGATCTTTGACCAAATGGGGGCAGCCATCTTGTGTGTTGGAGTGATGGTCAATCTGCATATTACTCTTTTATTAGATAGGATAATAGGAAAGGATATTTACAAGATGTAAAGTGATGATCTCCAGATGGGACCAGGATTAATTTTTAATTTATTGCTTATTAACCTTTCTACAAGTGAGCATATATCAATTTTTAAAAAACATTCTTTTAAAATGGCTTTCCAGAAGAAAACGTGTTCATCTCCTCACCGTCCATTCCTTTTGTTATGGGAAGCTGCTCAAGAACCACAGGAGAAACCCAAACCCGAGGCCGTGCACCCCCCCTCCCCCCGCCATGGGCTCCCCCGTAGCACAGGCTGCTCCCCCTGGGCCCTCCCATGGCATGGACACCCACTGTGCAGGGCAGGCAGGGATTTTGCTAAAGCCCTTAGCCAGCGCTGCTTTGGCGTAGGTTTGTTTGATATTATAATCTGATCCTGACACGTGCTCAGACGTTAGCATATAGTGTCATAGTCAATCCTATTGAAACATTGGGGTCTCTGTTTTCCCTCCTGCTTGTGGACATTATGTTCTTATTTCTTATGAATCCTAGGATCCCAACTCTGGAGAAAGCAGGACACAGAAATGAAAAATTAGTGGCAATACAAAAGGGCTTTACATGCACAGTTGAGGGTTGACATATACTGTGTTAATACAACTACAGTCTCCGCATGTAACCATGTCACAGCCAGCAAATGATGAGCTTGTGACCGCACACCACGTGGGGACTGCTCTGCTGTCATGTGCGGGCCGTGCCGCAGCGCACTGTTCGCTTGCGGTGACTGGTGAATGCAGTTACTTGACCTATTCGGTGCAAATTAATTAATTAATTAATTAATTAATTAATTAATTTAAATCAATCTTTATTGTTCATATTGTTACAAAGGTTCCTCATTTCTTCCCCCCTCCACCAGGTTCCCACCCCACCCTCCGCCCCCTCCCCAACCCCATTGTCCTCATTTATAGGTGTAGTTTATGTTCAATCTCTTCCTCCCTCCCTTTCCCCGATAGTAAATCCCTTTTCAGATAGTAAATCAGTTACTTAGCATTTTCTCATATCAATAATACCACCACATGCCCAATGATACATTTCACACAAAAGACATTTCCAAATAGGTCAACCAACCTCATCCAGGCCCCACCCAAGGCACTCACAGATCAACACCCCAGCCCTATACTAACTCAACACATCCAGATCTAAGCCTTCATCACTTGATTCAGCAGACCCTCAAGTTCCCACAAAAGTTTCCAGCCATGTCTGAGAGGCAGCCGTGGGGCAGGGGCAGGCGAGAAGCGAGCTGTTCCGGGCCTGGCTGCTTCGGGCCTGGCCTCTGTTGCTCTGGTTCGTTCCACAACCAGCTGCTCCGGGTCTAGTCACCGCCGCTCCTGACCTAGTTGCTCTGGACCTGGCTGCTGCTGCTCCGGGCCTGGCCGCACCCGACCCGGCTTCTCTCCGGGCCTGGCCGCATCCAGCCTGGCAGCCGCTGCTCCGGGCCTGGCCCCACCAGACCCGGCTGCTCCGGGCCTGGCAGTTCCCAGCCTGGCAACCGCTGCTCCGGGCCTGGCCGCACCAGACTTGGCTGTTCCGGGCCTGGCCGCTCTCAGCCTGGCAACCGCTGCCAGACCCGGCTGCTCCGGGCCTGGCCGCTCCCAGCCTGGCAGCTGCTGCTCCAGGCCTGGCTGCTCCCAGCCTGGAAGCCGCTGCTCCGGGCCTGGCTGCACCAGACCCGGCTGCTCCGGGCCTGGCAGCTCCCAGCCTGGCAGCCTCTGCTCCGGGCCTGGCCACACCAGACCCGGCTGCTCCGGGCCTGGCTGCTCCCAGCCTGGCAGCCGCTGCTCCGGGCCTGGCCGCTCCCAGCCTGGCAGCCGCTGCTCCGGGCCTGGCCGCACCAGACCCGGCCGCTCCGGGCCTGGCCGCTCCCAGCCTGGCAGCTGCTGCTCCGGGCCTGGCCGCATCAGACCCGGCTGCTCTGGGCCCAGCTGCCCCAGGCCCGGCCACTCCGAGTCTGGCCGCTCCCAGCCTGGATGCTCCGGGCTTGGCTACTGCTGTTCTGGACCTGGCTGCTCCCAACCTGGCTGCTCTGGGCCCCGCTTCTCCGGGTCCGGCCACTCCGGGTCTGGGTATTCCTGGACTGGCTACCCTGGGCTTGGCTGCCTCCGCCTCAGGTCTGGCTGCTCCAGTGCTGGCTGTTGTTGCTCTGGTTCTGGCTGCTGCTGCTCTGGGGCCTGGCCGTTGCTGTTCCGGGCCCGGTTGCCATTGCTTTGTGCCTGGGCACTCTAGGCCTGGCTGCCGCTGTTCCAACATCCTGTCCTTTTTTTTTTTTTTTAAACGCATTTATGTTGCAATGTTGGCTGGTGAGTTGAGTTCTGACTTAGTCTTTGATTTTTCAAGATCTTCTTTGTATTATTTCTTAAGTAATTTTACTATCTTTTGCTCTCACTTGATTTCTTCACATTGAGAACTTTGGTTTCTTCCTCCTTGTCCTGGGAGCTCAGCAGGTTGGCCTGTGGCACCCCTTTGTGCTCCGTGGGCTCCCGCGCTGCTCCAGCCTGTTGCCGGGGTCGGCGCCGCCCAGGAAGCAGCCCCCGGCCCTGGCTCCGTTGCCCGTGCTCAGAGGTCGATGGCTCGGGGGCACCCCCCCCCCTCGGGGCCCCGTCGCCTGGCTCCCTGCTGGCGCCCGGCTGGCTGGTGTCCTGGCTGGTGTCCGGCAGGGGCTCCTGCTCCCTGTCGCATTCCTCCAGTCTGGAGCTTTTTTTTTTTTTTTCTCCTTCCCGCTAGGGCAGTCTAGGATCAGAGTCAACAGACCGTCCTCTGCGCGCAGTGCGTGCGACTCTGGGGACTCCGCTTTTTGCCACTCCCCTGGGATTCCGCCTCACGGCCCCATCTCCCCATGCCCAAGCCTGGGTCCCCAGGGTCTGGTCCAGGACTGGGGTTCAGAGCAGTCCGGACTGAGGCTCAGCGCCGCCGGAGGCTTTGTTTCTTCCTGCTAGGGTAATCCAGCATCAGAGTCAACATTCAGTCCTCTGCACGCAAAGTGCGCGTGACTCCGGGGGCCCTGCTTTTTGCTGCTCGCTTGGGATTCCGCCTCACAGCCCCGTCTCCCCCGCCGGAGCCTGGGTCCCCAGGGTCTGGCTCATAACTAGGGCTCAGCGCTGCCGGTTCAGGGGTTCAGCCCAGGCTGGGGGTTCCATTTCCTTCCCGCTAGGGAACACCAGGCAGCACCCAGCCCTCTCCTCCTCTCTGGCTGTGACCTCTCCGTGCGCGCGTGTGCGAGCGTGCAACGTCTTCGTACCTTAGGCTTTTTTTCAGCTCCGCTGATTTTCCTTCTGGTTTTCTCTTTCCTTCTTGTTGTAGAATTTTCAGTCAGTCGACTACCTGTAGCTCTGGGCGATGTCCACTCTATATTTTAGTTGTATTCCATTGAAATTGTTGTGTGCTGCTGCGGTTAGGTGTCTACCTGAGCAGCCATCTTGGATCCTCTTCCTCGGTGCAAATTTAAAATCCAGTAACACAGCCCTGGCCCGTGTGGCTCAGTGGATAGAGTATCAGCCTGAGGACCAAAGGGTCCCAGGTTCAATTCTGAGCAAGGGCATGTACCTTGGCTGCAGGCTCCTCCCTGGCCTGGCCAGATCGGGGCTCATGCAGGAGGCGGCCTATTGATGCGTTTCTCTCACATCGGTGCTTCTCTGTTTTTCCCTCTCTCCCCCACCCTCCCTAAAAATCAATGGAAAAATTCCCTCGGGTGAGGATTTTAAAAAAAAATTACAGTAATATAGAAAGCGTTTCATACATAATTTTAATTACACAAATGTGTCTACATAAGTAAAAATAAGGTTAACTGGCCAATTTTTTGCCATACACATTCTGAAAACCTACTTTCCACTTTAACGGACACCCCCTCACTGGAATTGGTCCGTTATTTGAAGAGTCTGCCACTCCACAAGCTTTCCACAAGTCCGCACCGGCCACACTCTGCCCGGGTGAGGGCTCCCTCCCTGCGCCCTCCAGCACTGCTGGCTGTGGATGGAAGGGAGCCATCGTGCAGCACATCTCATCGTGGCCTTCATTTGCAGCTCCGATAAAGGATGCTGACAATCTTGTCTGCTGGCACCTGTACGTTCTCTTTGCAGAAGTCTGTTCCAATCTTGCACCTTTTTTAATTGGAGTATTTTGGAGTTGTGTAAGTTTTTATGGATTGTGGCTGCTGGCCCCTGTCAGCTGTCACTGGCCATGGTTCTCCTGTGGGATGGTGCCCTGTGCTGGGCAAAACGCTTCGGCTCCTGCCAGGAGCACAGCACACCTCCAGCCCAGGCCCTCGGCCCTAGCCCCTTCCCTGTGAGTCTGTCTAACCCCATCTCAGTGCTGGGTGATGGTCCAGATCTCACAGACCGCTGTGAAGGTGAGAGCATGCATTCACAAACATGTTGTCTGAAGTATGGAGATTACAGAAGAGTCTGTTAGAAGAAAATAGACTTTTGTTCCTAGGCTTGGAACAAAAACTGGGCAGACTATATGGCAAGATTATCACAGTATTTATCTCTGGTTATGGGATTGGCAGATTAAGTTTTACCAGTTTTTCTGTGTGTAACATCAATATAGTGCTTTTATAATTAGAAAACATCTATTCAAAAATAACTGTCAAGTTTGGACACGAGAGGCAGTTTCATCTTCCCATGTGACTTCCCAGGGCCCGAAGAGCCAGGAGCGGGAGCCTGACCGAAGAGCCGGGTTTGGTGGGGACGCTGCACCTGGCAGCTCCGTGGGGAGGCACCCAGAGCACCCACCCCGAGCACCGAAGCCAGCAGCTGGGGGCTCCGCCCGTGGCCTCCGAAGTTGTGGGAGCTGGGGGCTGCGTCCCTCCTGAGAACTTGGTCCTGGGGGACCAGTCTGCCTTTGGGACGGACAGGCTGGGGTGGCGCCTGAGCTACATGCCTAGCGAGTTCCTTACCCCCAAGTCCGAGTCCTCGGCTGCACTAAATGAGTCTTTCCTCTCCAGGTGGCTGTGAAAATGTAAAGATGGTTTGTGGAAGTTGACAGATGGCGTGCTATATATGAGTTTTCCCCTCTCTGAACCTTTTTCCTCACTTTTAAAGGGACATGAACTCCTACTTCAAAAGCTGTGGAAAGCCCACACTGCAACTGAGGCCCCTCTCCCGTGTCCGAGCACCGCACTGAGGTCCCTGTGCTCCCAGGCCCAGCCTGGCGGTGGCATTCCTTCTGGGTGGGCGGGGATGGGGGTTCCTCAGGGGCCCCCCTCCAAACCCTGCAGCAACAGGCAGGACAGACTGGGCCCGAGGTGTACACGCTCGCACGGACACCCCCCTTTTGGAAGCCAGGGTTGCCTCTTGCAAAACACACATTTCATTCCCAAGTGCTTCTGTGCCTCCCCACACCCACACAGCCGTGCAGCATGCAGAGCTGCCAAGGCAGCTGCTGAAGAAGCAATGCCTGGGGGGGGGGGGGGGGGGAGACACACACACGGAGGGAGCAATTCCAAGGGCTTCTATAGAACTCTGGCCCCTCACATAGTGGGGTTGCTCAGGGCACTCGTCCATGATTGGTTCCCTGTCCTTTTGCCCCCCTTTTTGTAAGAAATAACGAAGACTTGAAAAATACAGAAGTTAAAAGCCCATCCAGTCCCACCAGAGTTGGCTGTCACTACTTTACCCTTTCCTGTCACACTCTTCCAGCATTCAAAGGCAGAGTTCACAGCTGCCAACATTCCAGCATGGAGATGTGCCCCTGCTAACTGCTCCCAGTGCCACGGAAGTGGTTCCCGAGGGAGCTGCCACTACCACCATCATGCCTGCACCTCTGCACGTACTGTATCAAGAAATTCCTAGAAGTGAAATGATTGGGTTAGAGTAGGAACACTAAAGGCCTTTGATCCCAGAAAAGTTTTTCATGAATTTGTTTCAAATATTGCCAATATGATAAGCCAAAATGGCTTTCATTATAGGCTTACTTTCCAGGTTTTTTGTACCCTGCACTAGATACGATGTTTTCCAGAAGCTTTTTAGCTCATTGTTTTTCTTCAGTGAGTTATCAATGCCCTTTGCCCATGCTGTAGTGAAGAACCTTTCCATAGTGAGTTTCTAAGGTCTATGGATTGTGTATTTGTCCATTGTAGAAATGTTTCCAATTTGTTTTTTTAAGTTTTAGAAGTTTGTTCTTTTATGATCTCCTTTCCCTATTTTGCTGAGAAAGTCTTGATACAGAGATCAATTAAAAAAATAAATCTTTATTGCTCATATTACAATTGTTTCTCCTTTATCCCCCCAAAGCTCCCTTCCACCTGGT